CATTGATGAGGGAGCTTAGGAGTATATAAGCCAAAGGGAGCTAAGCTCCACTTCTGCTGTGACCACCCTGAGGGCCACAGGCCAACCAGGAGCATGTCCCAGAAGCCTGCCTGCAACTGCAGGGAGCAGCCAGGAGGACTGTGTCCTGCCTCCAGGGGTGAGGGGGTGCAGGTGCCATCCCTTCTTTCTTTGAACCCTGAACCCTCCATAAATAGGTCCTCTCAGTATCTTTTAATTGACCTTCATGGGTATGACGGACGACTAGGAGAAAGTGTCCCTACCCTCCACCCCTTTTATTTCTCTAGTGTATTTCAATCTGCAGACAGAAAACCATTAGTGGGTAGAGAAATCAATTTAGTGGGTCATGACAGGCATTTTATAACATAAAGTAGAATAGGAGGTATTAGAGCGCATTGGATGTAGTAGGGTTGTTAAGTATTATTTCATGAAAGATTGATAGGTAGACAGGTACGTAGATGGATATGGAGGTGTGGTGTAAATGTATCACTATGGATTGTTCTCAGTGAAGTTCGGAAGTTACTGGCTAGTTGACTCTGAGGGCTGGCACCAGCTGGGCAGGGAGGATCTACTCCCTGGGTCTGTCCTGGGCTCTGGGGCCCAGTCCCAAGCCTGAGTGTTCCTCCAGACCCATCGAGAAATGTACCCTGAAGAAAGATGCTTCTGATGTGCCCCTCTTTGTTTTTTTTTTTTTTTAAAAGATGACCGGTAAGGGGATCTTAACCCTTGGCTTGGTGTTGTCAGCACCACGCTCAGCCAGTGAGCGAACCGGCCATCCCTATATAGGATCCGAACCCGCGGCCTTGGTGTTATCAGCACCGCACTCTACCGAGTGAGCCACGGGCCGGCCCAGATGTGCCCCTCTTTGAAAGAGACATTTTTGTGTGAAGCAGGCCACTGAGCCAGGGGGCCCCTGCTGGAGGAGAAAGGCATTCCTACTCATAGTGACAGAGAGGTATCACTGTCAGCTGGGTTGTGTCCACTCGGACTCTGCAGGCTGCATGAAGAGGGGAACAATGGACTAGGAATCCCCAGTTCTTGTCCTTATCCTTGGTCTGCCACTCATTGCTGTGTGACTCAGGGCAAGTAGCTTGCCCTTTCTGGGCCTCAGTTTACGCAGGTACAAAGGGAGTGATAGGACCAAGTGATTTCTAAGGTCTTGTTCTCATAGTCTGTTCCAGGATGACATTAAGAAAATCTGATGGAATCACCCTAAATGTCCATCATCGGATGAGTGGATAAAAAAACTGCGGTACATATACACAATGTAATACTACTTCAGCTATTTAAGAAAATAATATCCTATCATTTGCAGCAGCATGGATGGAACTGGAAACCATCATGTTAAGTGAGGTCAGGCACCGAAAGACATATATCGCATGATCTCACTCATATGTGGAATCTGAAAAAAAAAAGTAGTTCTCATAGAAGTCGAATGATGGTTACCAGAGGTGGGGGGTGGGGAGGGGGCAGGGTGAGAAAAAGTGGCGGACTAATGGGTACGAAACTGTGCTATCTATCCTAAGTGAATCCTTGTGCAGTATATGCCTGTACCAAAACATAGTGTACCCCAAAATATGGACAAATAAATGTTAAAATAAAAAATTTAAAAAAAGATAAGAAAGAAAAGAAAATCTGGATTTTCTGGGAAATCCCAAAAGGGTAGCGAGTGTTTCTCATCAGGCTTCTCCCGAAGACCCTGAAGCAGAGTCTTGCAGCCCGAGGTATATCAGGCAGAGGCCGAGGCAGGATGGCCACTACCTGGCAGCAGCAAGGGTATATGATAACAGAAGCAGCTGGAGCCTGAGTCTGGTCTCCATGGACAGCATTTATTAGGCGCCATTCTCAGTGTGAAGACAGATAGGCAGGAAGAGCTAAGGGAAGGCCGTGGCGGCCACAGCCTTTGGAGTCCAGGGGCTGCCCAGGGTGGGGTTGTGGGCGTGGGGTGATGTCACCCACACATATTGCATATTCTGTGGCAGTGTGCCCAGGCATAAGGCATTGGGGAAGCAGAAAGGCTGCCTGCGGTGGGAAGGCATGAGAAGGAGAGGTGACATTGGCCTTCCAGTGCCCTAGGAAAGGCCCAGCTGGAGACTGAGCAGTCAGCTATGCTCTGCCCAGGGCCATGCTTCCTCCTTCCCCACTATCTCTCTGCAACTTTGGTTGTGGCTCCCTTGGGACTGACAGGACAGGACCCCTGGAGGGCAGGGTCACACACAGGACAGAGGCAGCTGGCACTACCCCTCACCCCCAACATAAACACAGAGGGCACCCCAGGTCCTGGGCCCTGCTCTCCCGGCACATGAGCAGCCAGCTCCTCCATGCTGAGACGGGACTCACACACAGGCCAAAGACTAGAGGACATGGCTGCGGTGGGGCCCCTCCCTCTAGTTTCCCTGAATGCCAGGGCTGGCCTTGCTCTGCAGTGTTAAGGAGCTGACATGGGAACAGCATGGGAAGGCGGTACTGCAGGAGGAGAGGTCCCTCATCCATCCCTTGATGCTGTCCTGGTCACTGTGCCAGCTCCAGCTGGGGGGCCCCAACAGTGAGCCTAGGGTATCACCTCCATCTGCTGCACTGGGCTTCTGGGTTGCTGGTGGGGTAGGCAAAGGACACACCAGGCCCACCCCCACCCCCCACGCACACCTGGGAGGGATGTTCCTTGCTGCAGCCTGAGCTTACCTCCAGCTACTTGGGACACAGGCACCAACACTGGCTGTGGGGCCAGGGATAATGTCCTAGTAGGATATGCCTGCCAGCTCTTTTGGCTGCTCTGCCCAAACTCGTACAGCCCCAGCTCCTGGCCTTTCTTCCATGAAATCCAGCCTTGCCTATCTTGGTCCTAAGGATTTCCCTGTTTGTAAGCAGAGAGCCCAGAGACAAGGGGGCCCTACCCTCAGAGGCCCATTCAGAGCCCCTGCCTCCTGGCCAAGAGTAACAGAGGCTGAGCCTCAGCAGTGGCCCAGCCCTGAGCTTCTGGTTCTGGTTTAAGAGTCAGCTACTCACACAATGCCAGGGTTTTTTGCTTTTGAGAGCAGCTGAGCTGGGAGGAAAGAGCTCTTCAGTTGGCAACAAACAGGCTGGGTTCCTGCTCCGCTTTGCCTTTTGCTGTCTGTATCACCTTGGGCAAGTCACTTCACCTGTCCAGGCCTCAGTGTCCTCATCTGTAAAATGGGGATAAGAACTCCTGCCCTGGTGACCTAATTGGGGTGTTGTGAGACTTGAACAGACAAGTAGTCAGGACAAGGTTTTCAGAGGCTAAAAATCCACAAATTTACGAGGTGGTAATTATCAGCAGTAGCTGGGGATGGCAAGTCTGACGTTTTCTGTTCCAGATTCTAAGGGCAGTGTCTGGAAA